CGATCCTCCCCAACCGTCCCCGCAATGGTTCAGTCGGGTCCGGTCTTTGACACACACACACACACACACACACACACACACACACACACCCGGCCCCGCCCAGCTTCAGCCCACCCCCGCCAGCGACTGGCCCCTTAATACCCAGGCCCAGATTAAGACTCCATCCCACCCCAGCTCCTCGAGGTCACGCTCGGTCCCGCCTTAGGCCCCGCCCCTTTTGGCCCTGTTCGACAAGGAGGCCTAGCTCGGCCCCGCCTCTGTCCCGCCCCGCCTTGTCTTGGCCCCACCCCTGGGGTCCCACCAGAATGCCCCGCCCCGCCCCTAGGCCCCAACTTCCGCCCCGCCCCAGCCCGCCCCGCGCCGCCCGTTTCAGGCCCGTTGGCACCGGGCTAACAGTTCCACCGCGTCTGTCGCCCTGGACGCCTGCGGACCGCCCCAGGAAGCCCGGCCCCGCCCGCCCCGGCCCGCGTAGGTGAGCAGCGGCGCTCCCGCAGCTGTGCGTCCCCGGGCGCCCGCGCACCCTCTCAGGATTCCGCCCGGCCTGAGGGCGGGAGGCCGCAGCCGCGGCGGCGGGGGCGCCCACTAGAGGTTCGCGTGGGCCAAGGTCCGGACGGGCGCCGGAGCGCCTGGTGTCGTGTGGGCCCGGATATCCAGGTGCATTTCCCAGGGGGCTGGGCGTCGAACCCTGAGCCGCTTCGCTGCGGGAATGCTCAGGGCCTCCCGGGGGGTAGTGGGCGTTCCGGTGAGCTGAGAATGCGAGGGAGGAGGGCGTGTCCCTGCCTCCTGATACGCTTTGATTGGATTCTGGCCCACAGCCTTCGTCTAACTCCATCTGGCCCCGGCCGGGTTTCCCCCGGCTCTGGCTCCTGTGGGACCAGAGCTCATCCCGGCTCTGGCCCCACGAGATGAGCCTCACCCTGAGCCTCACTTTTCCTCATCTGGTGAATGGGCACTGGCCTTGCCCGGGCCCCCCAGGAGCATCAGAGCTGGCCCTGAGCCAGGCCCTCCCTCCCCCTGGGGGCCCCGGGACCAGTGACCCAGACGCCAGCAGTCCCTGCCCTGGGAGGTTCCAATTTCAGCAGGCAGCCCAGACAGGGGAAGAAGCAGAGGAGAGAGGGTGATCAGAAATGGGATGGGGGATCCCGCAGGCAGAGGGGAAGCCCAAAGGAGGCGCCAGAACAAGGCTGGGCAGTAGGAGAAGTAGGGGCTGAGAGCCGAAGGGTGAGAAGGCTCGGGCCACGCGAGCGGGAATGGTGCTCCCGGCAGAGGGAACAGCGGGGCCAGGGCGTGGGGAGTACGGAGCTGCTGAGTGCTGGGGGTGGGAGTCATTTGGGGAGCTGCCAAGGGCATCGAAGGACTAGGAGTGACCATGAACTAGCTGGTAGGAAGGCTCCGGGCTCTGTGGAGGGCTGGTGGTCCCTGCCCCAACGCCACACTCAGACATCTCAGCCCCTTGGTCCTCAAACACACTTCGAGACATGATGGGGAGCCCTGGGGCCCCATTTAGTCTGTCAACAAACATCGACTGAGCACCTGACCAGGCTGGGCGTCGTGTGCCGTGTGGGGATTGGGGCAGGAGGGGCAGCAGGGGGGCCCGGGAGGATGTGGGTGCGATCAGCCCCAGAGAGGTGATGGGGGCCGACCATGGGGGGCCATGGGGGGCGGCCATAGGGGTGGGGAGCAGCGGCCAGGTGACCGGCTGTAACGGGGAAGGACTCACAGCTGGTGACTGGACCTCCAGAGCCGGGGGAGGGGACAGCAGATGGACGTGGGAGGTGACATTTCAAAGAAGGTGGAGTGGTGGGCACTGTCCGGCGGCCAGTGTGACCTCAGACCCCTCCCCTCGACAGCTGCACGAGCACGGGTGGCCTCGCATACCGGGAAGACCTCGAGGGGGAGAAGCACTCGGGTGCGGGTCTGGCCAGGAGCGGGCGCAGGGCTGGGGGCAGAGTGAGGGGGTGCCGGGGGACCCCAGCAAGGGGCGTTAGAGGGCAATGACTGAAGTGGGGAGACGGGAGGCCCATCGCGGAGTTCTCAGTGGGTTACAAAGAGTTCAAAATCCTATCACTGAAAGGTGGACTCAGGATCTGTGGGCCTGTGAGCCCAGAGCTATCTGGGCAGGGAGTGGAGCCTCGGACACCTCGGCGCCCATCCCTGGGCCTCAGTTTACCCCTCTGTAGAAGGAGTGTGCGTGAGTGGGTCTCCCAGGGCCTAGGGATTGGCTCAAGGGGAGCCGGATGCTCAGGTCCACCTGGGCTCCCCGAGTGCCTCCTGTCGTGCGGGGGCCACGTGGGCCCTCTCATCTGTTTACCGGCTGGATCCCTGGGGGGCCCCTTAGGCCTCCTCCGGGGTGTCGTTAGCCCGCGTCTGTCCTCTCGGGCCTCAGAGTTCACCTGGGAGGTGCAAGCCAACAACCGGTCCCACAACAGCCAGTTCAAGGAGAAGGCCTTCCTGTGCTGGCAGAGTAAGAAGTAACGAGGTGGGCAGGCCCGACCCCCGCGGGCTTTCGGGACCTGCCGCCAAAGCTCTGCGTGCTGGGTCAGTCCACTTAGTCCTGAGGACCGTAGCGCCGCCCTCGCCGAGTCGTGGGGTCCGGTGCTGGCGCTTCGTGTGTCTCCTCCGCCCTAAATAAGTTACTAGGCAACCTTCACGGTACAGCGTGTCCATTGGGCTCTACCTGAAACCCCCGGCCTGCGTCTCACGCGGGGAGTCCTGGGGTCACAGCTCGGCTCACTGGGTCTGCACCCGCGCTGGTCATGGCCGGAGGGAAGGGGGAGGCAGTTGGGGCTGGGTGGGAACCCGGGCCCTCCTGGGCGGCTCCCCCATGCCGGCTGCCGGCTCTCGTCCCAGAGGAACGTCATCCACACGGCCAAGTACAACGTCTTCTCCTTCCTGTCCTTGAACCTGTACGAGCAGTTCCACCGCATGTCCAACCTCTACTTCCTTATCATCATCATCCTTCAGGTGGGGTGGGTGGGGGAGCCCCAGGGGTCAGTGCCTGTGCCCACTCCACTCCTTCTACCTGCTCGAGCCACCTCCTCCAGGAAGCCCTCCCCTCCCACCTTCCCACGTGGCTCTGTAGACCCAGGGTGGTCCTACCCCGTGTTTGTCTGTGTGGCTGGTGGGTCAGTGTCTGGCCCCCCTCACACTGGGAGCACCCTCATGGCTGGGTCCCCACTGCCCAGCCCAGGGCCTGGCACACAGGAGGCCCTCAATATATGTCGGATGCTGAGGGTGCATGGTGGCCCCTCCAGGTCTGAGGCGGCCTCCTGACCCCTTTGGCCCCAGCAGGCTGAGCTGATCCCAGAGGGCCAGGAGGAAGGATTACGTTCTTGGGACCCGCCGGGTCACTTCCTGGCATCAGGCCAGTCATGGGTGGAGATGGGTGAGGGATGGATAGTTTCCAGAGCACCCCAACCGCACCCAGTTTCTCATGCTGTTCTGAGTGAAACGAGACACTCTGCTTTTATCCGTTGATCCGATAAACTTTTATTGAACACCTACTGTATGCAGGTCCTATTCTGGGTACTGGGGACCCAGCAGTGGCCCTAACACCTGTCTTCAGGTGGCCCAGGGAGTGCGGGAGGTGACTGTCATTAAACCACATGGTGGTTCCGCAACGCGGAGCTCCTGCAGGCCGTGTGGGCGTCTGGTGCGTGCTGGCTGTCTGGCGCGCGGTGATGGCGCAGGAGGGGAACAGTGAGCCTGCCCCCAGGCTGCCTCTGCCCTGGGCTCCTGAGACACTCCCGCCCGACTCCCGCGGCCCTCTCAGTCGGGTTAGAGGGTGCGCAGGCCCCTGGCCTGAGCCCCAACCTCTTCCGCAGAGGGTGTCCGGGCCTGTCATCGCGCGGGGAGGAGGAGGTCATGGAGATTGGGAGCCAAGCTTAGAGGTGGTGCCGGCGCAAGAGACCGTCATCCCGCAAATACCTGACTGGCACCTCCTGTGTCCGTTTCCTCCCCGTGCTAAGGCCGCACAGATGGGTGGGTGGTGGGTCCCTGACGGAGGGCAGGCTCTCAGCCCCCTTCCCCTCCTCCACCCCACCCCCCTTCCCGGGCCAGACCAGCTGTCGTACCAGGCAGCTTCCCCAGACAAGGAGGCGCTGGTCATGGCGGCCCAGAATTTCGGCTACGTGTTCCTGGCACGCACACAGGACAGCGTCACTGTGATGGATCTGGGAGAGGAGTGGGTGTACCAGGTCCTGGCCATGATGGACTTCAACAGCGTGTGCAAGCGGATGTCGGTGCTGGGTGAGCCCCCGTGGCTCCAGGTGGGGTGGGGGCAGGTGGGGAGGGGAGCGTGTGTGGGCAGCCAGGCCTCTTCCTCCACAGTCTGCAACCCCGAGGGCTCCATCTACCTCTACACCAAAGGGGCTGACGCCGTCATCTGTGAGCGCCTGCAGAAGAAAGGCCTGATGGAGTGAACCACGGAAGAGGCCTTGGCCGTGAGTCCCTGTGGGGAGGGAGGGTGGAGGGGCAGGTTCAAGGGCACAGGGACAGGAGGAGAAGGGCAGGAGAGGAGAGTGTGCAGAGAAGTGGCCTCAGGTACCCAGGGCAGCCATGTACAGTTGATCAGGTTGTGCACTGTTCTGCCCAGCGCGCGCACGCACGCACGCACACACACACACACACACACACACACACACTCTCCCTCTCTCTCTCTCTCTCTCTCTCTCTCTCTCTCTCTCTCTCTCTCTCTCTCTCTCTCAGGCTGGAGAGGGAGCCAGACTCCAAGCTGCACCTGCCCAAAGGGAATACCTTTTTCTCAGTCACGCAAGGACACCCTGTGGTTGGGCTTTTGTTCTGGTTGCTACCCCCCTATCCCAGCCAGGCCTAGTTTCCTGGACGTGCTTAGCCCTCTCTGCCCCAAAACTTTTGTCTCCGTGGGTGAAGCCCAAACGCCTTGGCCCAACTTTCCAGGCTCTTTCTGTGTTCTGCTGTCCTGTCTATCCTGGTCCCTCCTTGACCTCGAGGGGTTCCCCAGAACCCCAGTTTCTGGCTTGCAGTTTTCTCCATGCTCAGGTGTTGCCTCAGGACCTTTGCACACGCTATTCCCTCTGCTAGGAATGCCTTCCTCCACTCTGGCGCTCAGTCACCATCCTTTGGTCCTCAAGGTTCAGCCATAGGTCCCCACCTCCAGGGAGCTGTTCCCGCCCCGACCCTGACATGGGGCTGTCCTGCCGTGCTGGCCCAGCCCTGACCCTGCAGGTCCCCAGCCTCATCCAGCACAGGGGCCAGCGGGACTGTTTGTGGAAAGAAATATCCTGTGTCCCTCCACACGGGGGCCTCCCAGACTGCCCTGTTCTACCTCTGCCTGGAAGCGGGTGGGGGGTGGGGAGCAGGCAGCTGGTCTGTGACCCACAACTGAGGAAGTGCAGTCAGAACCATGACCCAGAGCCTAGGAGCTCGGCAAGACGGCTTGGCTTAACCGCCTATGGAGTGGATGGGGAAACTTTGGCACGAGAGGAGCACAGGCCTGTCTGGAGCTCCTGACCTGTCCAAACTCAGCCGCTCAAGCCCACCTCCAGTCAGGAACAGAAGCGAGACCCCGGGCAACAGGCAAAAAGCCTGGGGGAGGGTTGGGGCATAGGAGGGAAGGAAGGAGCCACGATGGGCCCCCTGGGGCGAGCGAGCTCGGGGTCTTCCCTGGGGTCTGGAGACAGAGTCCCCAGGATCCTTACAGTTCCACCCACCCCAGAGGCCTCAGCTCCTTGAAAAATGAGGCAGAGGGAGGGGGCTGGGGCTGGGGGAGCCCTGACGGCAGAGGGTTCTGGCAGGGCTGCACCGAGTGTCTTGCGGAGTAGTTAGAATTTGCCTGTGAGGTCTGGGGGCAAAACAGCTGGGCATCGGGGTGGGGGCGGGGGGCGGGCTAAGACAGAACGGGTGTGGAGCAGGGCGGTATGTGGTCCCAGCTCCCCCTGCCCGGGAAGACAGACTGTGGGTGGCGGGTAGGTTGGGTGACCCCGGGCAGAGGGAGAGGGCTGGAGGGGTGCCCGGGTGAGGGGGCAGGGGTTGGCGGGGGTGCCAGCGCCGCCTACCCGCCCGGGGCCCAGTCCTTCGCCAAGCAGACCCTGCGGACACTGTGCGTGGCCTGCAAGGAGGTGGACGAAGACATGTACGAAGAGTGGCGCCAGCGGCACCAGGAAGCCAGCCAGCATCCTGCTCCAGAACTGTGCCCACGCCCTGCACCCGCTGTACGAGGAGATGGAGCAGAACCTCCAGGTGGGTGGAGCTCAGGGGGAGGGGTGCCCGCACCCCAGCTCCAGCCCCTCACCCCCACCAGGGAGCTGGGTCCCTGCTCAGGCTGTCCCCACGCCCACCCCCAGCTGCTGGGAGCCACAGCCATCGAGGTCAGGCTCCAGGACGGTGTCCTCGACACCATTAAGTGTTTCAAGCAGGGGAAGTGTGGGTTCTCACAGGGGACAAGCAAGGTGGGTCCCAGGGTGGCCACCCCCAACATGGGGAGAAGGGAGGCGTGGGGAGAGCTCACCCCTGCCCGGGCACCACCGTCAGCCCATCCGTCTTGTCTGAGTTCAGCATTGCCCTCCACCTTGTCCCTGGGAAGGGAAGACCAGGAACAATGGACTGGGGTCCCCTGGGCGCCTCCCTCAGGCGGGCCGGTGCCATGCTCAGCGGCTCCTTGGGGTTTGGCCCCCTGGTGGCACCATGCAGTGGGGCCCTCATTACCCCTGCCTCATAGATGACCCAGCAGGGCTCAGAGAGCATGGGCACCTGCCACAGTTGCTCAGCCACCCAGGAGCCAAGCTGGAATGGAACCTCAGGTCCTGTGGCTGTGGAGCCCTGACTCCACCCCACTGAGGCTTCTCCGGGGCCCCACTGGGCATGGGTGCCTACAGGGCTGCATTAGAACTTCTGCGGGCAGGAAGCATGTACACACAAAGTATTTAGAATGACGTTTAACAGCTGTGCTGGTGTAAAGACAAATATCCAGGCTGCATTTTTGTATTCATTTTTTCCTCTCTTCTTTATTTTTTTTAAACAAATTAATTCATTTTTTTGGGTTCCTGGAAGTGCCCTGGGGCCCTAAGCACGTTATATCTAACGCCCCGGACCCACCTCGCACCAGCAGCCCAGCTCCAGCCAGGCGAGTGGAATGGAGCCCCCTCTGCTCAGAGCTGCAGCCAAAGTCTCAGGGCTGACTCTCATTGGCTGGCCTGGTCACATGCCCTCCTCCAAACCAATTGCTGTGGCCAGGGGGAGGGGCATGCTGCTGTGATGGGCAGAGTGGGCATGGCCGCCAGGCAGGGGCCCGTGGAGGGGCTGAGGTGGGCTGGTTTGCAGAGACAGCGGTGAACATCGGCTTTGCCTGCCAGCTGCTCTCGGAAAACACGATCATTCTGGAGGAGGAGGAGATTATGTAAGACGTGGGGGTTGGGTGGTTGGGTGCGTGAGCCTGTGTTGGGGGGGGTCAGGGTTGGGGCAGGGTACCACCCATGGCCCAGGCATGGCTCTGGGGTCTGCAGAATGCCCTCAGCCTCTGCCTGGTGGGGCTCCCAGAGGGGGAAACCAAGGCACAGCTGGGGAGTGGGTGGAAGGAAGCCTGTGTGGCTGGTGTGGCTGAGCCCCTGCTGGACCCCTGCAGGCAGATCCTGGAGGTCTACTGGGAGAGCAACAATAGCCTGCAGGGTGGCAAGAAGGGCCACCTGAACAAACAGCTCCCCCTGCAGGTCAAAATGGCCTTGGTCATTAACAGGGAGTTCCTGGTCAGTGTCAGCTCAGGGTGGGCAGCGGGGCCCTGGTACCTGGGAGGGGGCTGGGGACGGCCTCCACCAAAAGGCCCCCAGATGTGGTGTTGGACCAGCCAAGGGGAAGGGCCTGAAGCGTCACACCGAGAGATGGTTCTCAGCAGGGCGAGAGCAAGGGAAGGACGCAGTCAGGTCCAGCCGGGAGGAGGGCCCAGTCGGGGCGTTCCTGGAGGGCAGCGGTGCAGCTGAGTGACGCGCCCCCTGTCCCCCGCGGGCCAGGACCAGCTGCTGCTGTCCCTGCGCACAGAGCCCTGGGCCCTGGTCCAGAACGTGAGCTTGGAAGAGGAGGAGCCCTGGCAGGAGCCCAGAGAGGAGAGGGCGGACTTCCTGCAGGCCAGACGCTTGTCCCTGGTGTGGCGGGTCGTGGGTGGTGGGCAGCAGTGCGCGGGGAGGCCGGCGGCCGGCAGCAGGCGGGGGTGGTAGCTGAGGGGCCCGGGGCCGACAGGCTGTGTGTGCCCCTGCAGCTGCGGACATCGGCGTGGGGCTGGCGGGTCAGGAGGGCATGCAGGCGGTGCAGAACAGCGACTATGAGCTGGCCCAGTTCTGCTTCCTGGGGCGGCTGCTGCTGGTGTATGGCCGTTGGTCCTACATGCGCGTCTGCAAGTTCCTGCGCTACTTTATCTACAAGATGCTGGCCAGCATGATGGTCCAGATCTGGTTCGCTTTCTACAGCGGCTTCACTGCCCAGGTGCGCTGGAGGGAACTCCCCTCTTGGGGCTGGGGTGCCGGGGCGGGTGGGCTCTGGGATTGCCGTGTCCTTCCCATAGCCTCCAGGAAGGCAGCAGGCAGGCTCACACGCTGGGGTCATCACGGGGCAGAGTTGCCTGAAGTCACAGAGCGACACAGACTTTTATTTGGCTGCATTCATAGAGGTATAGATTCCAGATGAAGGGAAGGGATGGTTCCACGCCCAGCTGAGTGCCAAGCATTTTCAGGGATATTTGGCAAATTTGAGCTTTGGAGCAAGGGCAGGACAGGTGCTCCAAATATACATCCTTCAAGGGGAGAGAATGAGAGCTTGAACTTGAGAGAAGATAAGACTATGGGGGCTGGTTCCCTAACTTCAAGACTCTTGACAGTGTCATGGTGAATACTAGCTGTGCTCTCCAGAGCGTTAGAGGAGTTGTAGGGCAGTGATGTCCCCTGTGTGTAAGGAAATTGTCTGAAGATAGACTACTGTGAGAGGGAATGAGCTCCCCATCACTAATGCCAAGGTATTTGAGAGAGAGCTTTACAGCAGCAACCCTCATAAATATATATATATATATTTTTGTTGTTGTTGTTGTTGTTGTTGGCAGTACGCGGGCCTCTCCCTGCTGTGCCCTCTCCTGTCGCGGAGCACAGGCGCTGGACGTGCAGGCTCAGCAGCCATGGCTCACGGGCCCAGCCGCTCCGCGGCATGTGGGGTCTTCCCAGACCGGGACATGAACCCATGTCCCCTGCATCGGCAGGCGGACTCTCAACCACTGTGCTGCCAGGGAAGCCCCATAAATATATATTTTTGTTTTACTTTTTATTTCTAGATATTTTCTTCTTTTAGATGCTGCTATAAATGGAATTGTTTCTTTAATTCACTTTTGAGATTGCTTATTGCTGGTATATAGAAACAGTTTTTTGTGTGTGTTGATCTGTGTGCCCTTCAGCTTTGTTGAATTTGTTTATTGGCTCCAGTAGCTTTCCTGTGAATCCTTTGAGATTTTCTGCATATAGATCCTGTCCTCTGCAAATAGAGATAGTTTTACCTCTCCCTTTCCAATTTGGATACTTTTTATTTCTTTTTCCTGCCTAATTGCTCTGGCTAGGACTTCCAGTGCAATGTTGAATTGCCATGGTGAAAGCAGGCACCTTTGCCTTGTTCCTGATCTTAGAGGGGACAGTGTCTAGTCTTTCTGTATTTGTTAATTGGAATTCTTCCATGGGAAGAACTGTTCCTTCTCCCTTATTTATTTATTCAATTATTTATTCCTATCAGTGTGGACTCATGGGTGTTTATTTTATTCTATGCTTTGTTGCTCAAGTTGTCCCCGATTTGCCCCTCTGCCATGTGCCTGCTCTTCTCTGAGTACATCCTCACTTCCTGGTGCTACAAGAGGTTCCAGGCCCATTTTGTCTTTTCCGTGCCCCAACCCTGGAATGAGCCATTCCCATATGGAGCCCTGGTTCTTTTCACCAGAGAATGGTAGTTAGACACCAAGATCCAAGTGCTTAGTGTGGTCATTTTGCTACTGGGATGCCATTATCCTCTCAGTAGACAGAGCTAGGAAATACACACATATTAACCCATGTTTAGATGCAAATCTATATCTCTCTCGACACCTATCCATCTCTCTATTTTTGTGTATGTGAGTTCACACTGATACCTCTGCTTCCTGACCCACAGAACAAAGCTCAGCTTAGCCTTTTCCTTCTACTGCTTTGTGACTCTTATCTCCAATGGTGAGAAACTTGATTCTGGTAAAAAGTTTGATCGTTACTTATTTGCTCAATCCCAGAATGCACATAAAGTGGTTTTTGGAACTGAAACTGATATTCTTTTAACTAGTCTGGATTCATGCATTCCAGAAGGGAGCTGGGCTATTTGTCTGTGAGGTCTCTTCCAACTCTCCTACCCATCAGTGATTTCCTAAATCGAAAATGACCTGAAAACACACTCTCTAGCCGTTTTCCCTCCTGTAGCTTTTTTTTTTTTTTTTAACATCTTTATTGGGGTATAATTGCTTTACAATGGTGTGTTAGTTTCTGCTTTATAACAGAGTGAATCAGTTATACATATACATATGTTCCCATATCTCTTCCCTCTTTGTCTCCCTCCCTCCCTCCCACCCTCCCGACCTCCTGTAGCTTTTTATTGAAGTCATCCACTTAGAACAGGCTCAAAGGTGCTGCTTTAAAAGAATTAGACCAGGGCTTCCCTGGTGGCGCAGTGGTTGAGAGTCCGCCTGCTGATGCAGGGGACGCTGGTTCATGCCCCGGTCCAGGAAGATCCCACATGCCGCGGATTAGCTGGGCCCGTGAGCCACGGCCGCTGAGCCTGCGCATCCAGAGCCTGTGCTCCGCAACAGGAGAGGCCACAACAGTGAGAGGCCCGCGTACCGCAAAAAAAAAAAAAAAAAAAAAAAAAGGACAAATACTGTCTGATCCCACTCACAGGGTGTCCCTGGGGGAGTCACATCCATAGAGACAGGAAGTAGGTGGTGGCGGCCAGGGCCTGTGGGAGGGGGTGGGGAGTCAGTGTTTCTTGGGGACAGAGTTTCAGTTTGGGAAGATGAGAAAGTTCTGGAGATGATGGCGGGGATGGTTGCACGACAGTGTGAGTGTACTTAATGCCACTGAGCTGTGCACTTAAAAATGGTCGAAATGGTACATTTTATGTTATGTGTATTTTACCACAGTGAAAAAAGGCGGGGGAGAGGACTCACTGGCTCATGGAATCAGAATCTAGCAGGATGGGTCGCAGCTGGGCTGGGCCCCAGAATTGACTGGAATGGTGGACTAGGACATGGCCACAAACCTGCCACCTTCACCCACACAGGCTGGACATTGGGCTGCCCCAGACTCTGATTGGCTGATCCAAAGTCAGGTTCTAGGGAAGGAATCTGATTGGCTGGTCCAAAGGCATGTCCCATCGGACTTCCCTGGGGGTCCAGTGGTTAGAACTCTGCAGTTCCATGGCAAGGGGCACAGGTTCGATCCCTAGTTGGGGAACTAGGATCCCACATGCTGTGCGGTGTGGCCAAAGAAAAAGAAAAAGAGAAAAAAGTCAGGTCCCATGGAAGACTCCAGTTGGGTCAACTTGGGTAGGAAAGAGCCTGTCCAATCCATGGTGGCAAAGGGCTCTGATTGGCCCCCGCTGGAGGGGCAGGTGACCCAAAAGCAGTCAACATGGCTTAGGAGGCTGGCGACTCCTGCTCTCCCCTTTGATCTGTAGGAGGAGGAGGTCATCACCGTGGAGCCCATAGCCCGTGTCCCCCGGGAGGCACGGACCCAGCACTCCAGCTATGCCTTCTCCCACCGGGAGGGCTATGCGGACCTCATCACACAGGGCACAATTCTGTGGAGGTCACCAGCGACATGCTGGTTGATCACACGAAGCCACCTGATGAACTGCCCTGGAGCATGGAGGAGTCCTCCTGGTACCCCAGGAAGATGTCGTTCCTGGGGAGGAACAGGCGCCAGCACCAGGGGAAGGTGTCCTCTGAGGATGTTCAGCCTGCCTCTGAGGTGAGCTCATCCTTGCCTCTGGATGGGCAGTCCTCTCCTTATCAGGAGAGCCAGCACTCTCTCACCAAAAACCGGCTGTCCGGGTCTCTCCAGGAGAAGTTGCCGAAGAGGCAGGAGAGGTCACTGTCATATGAGCCGTGGCCATATACTCCCCAGAGTCTGCCACCAACCAAGGAGACACCACTATCAGCGGAGGGGAGCCAGATGACTTCTGAGAGCCAGATGCTACCTTCAAGCCAGCTGTCTTTGAAGAGCCAGTCAGCACACGTGCAGGCGAAGACATCCCTCTGGAAGATCTGGAAAGTGTCCTGGAAGAACTGGCCATACACCTGGCAAAAGGAGTCCGGGCCCCCCCAAGGAGGGGACGGTGCCAGTTTCCAACTCGAACCTCACCGCTCTGATGGAAACTCCACCACCAACTGCGAGAGGATCATCCACCAGCGAGCAGCCAATGGAGGTGGAGCCCTCACCTGTGGAGAAGCAGCTATCGCCCATGGAGTGGCTGCCAGGGCCCAGCGAGGGTCAAATTTCACCTGGTCTGGCAGGGCTGCCGCCCTCACCTGAGGAACAGCAGTGACTGCCCAGGCTTAGTAAGTGTCACCCAGCATTGTGAGGCCTTCCCCCAAAGACAGGGGCTCCACCTGCTCTTCTTTCTCTAATAAACCACAGTCTGTCTGACCCCACGTCTCCTTGAGGCTCTCTCTTCCTATACTTCTTTCTGTGATGTCCCACGGAATAGTTCTTTTCTGGTTTTAAAAATCAAAACACTGACCTCTAGTGGCCTGATAGGGGATTTGCAGGGAAAGCTGGGTTGCTCTGGGTTTCTTTGGGTTTCTTTACCCTGGGGTAATGTGGATAAGAGCTTTATTGCTCTCAGAAGGGAGAAAGGTGCTGAGCAGACTCTGCTTACCAGCCCTGGCTTCCTGCCTGCAGCCTGCTGGCCTATCTCAGGGCAGTTTATAAGGTCCAGTCCTGACACCACCCAGCCTTTTCCTCCACCGGGCTGCCCTGGTTTCTTCTCAAACAAACCACCTTACACTTTAGGCTCCAGAAGACAGCGGTCAGTGACACCTCAGAAGCAGAGCCCAGCAAGATCCGAGGCTCAGGTGGCCCAAAGGCCCTGTAGAGTGTGGAGCCCTGTGGGGGCAGGGGCTCAGGGAGGGCTGAGTTCAGAGCAGAGAGGGGTGGGCTGGGAGAGGCCCGCTTCCACTCTCCCTCGTTCCCTTCCTCCTTCATGGAGGGTGAGCCCCATGCCTCCCACTCCTGCACCAGCCCCTCCCCCCCATTCAGCAAAGGCACAAGCCCAGGTGAGTGACTAGAAAATAATTTATTGGAGGGAAACAAAACAACAAATCTAGCACAGCAATGGTTCACAACGATGATGATATATTTTTTTAAACTTTTAAGCCTGTCGCCTGAGGGTAGGGTGGAGGGGGCCTCTGTTCCCTCTAGCCCTGGGGGTTCGGGGGAGGACTTTGGATGACCCAAATTGTGTGTACCCTGAAAGCAGCCCTAGTGTCCAGTTGTGATTACACACTCAGGGCCACGTGGCCTCTTGGCTGCCCTCACCCCTGGTGGAGACAATCCCCCCAAAGACCAGCCCTTGGGGGGCCTGCCAGGGATACAGGAGGAGACCAGGGAGCTGATGGGCTGGTGTGGCTGAAACTGCTTTGGGCCAAGAATGTGAGTGGTCCCAGTTCCAGCCGGTGCAGGGGCCCTGGAACATGCCCCACCCCCCGCCCTCATTGCAGGTGGGTTGAACCTGTGCCCCCAAGGCCCAGCCCTCCAAACTTGGGCCTTCTGTCCTTCAGGGTGTGAGGGACCCCCTTTGGCCACCCAAACCCACCTTACCTGGGGCCTGTCCTGGAAAGTGGGCTCTCCCCTGGTGGGAGCGTGGGCCCCGTGGCAGAAGAGTCACAGTCCGGGAGACTGTCTCAGAGCCCCCTTTCATGATTTTTTGGGGGCCCCTTTGTTCTCTGGGTACCAGTGGGGGCTGGGAGGGAGGGCTCCACAGGTGTGCACCCCCTACCTCCCAGGCCAGACAGAAAGGTGAAGGCCAGGCCTGAGGGGGCTGGGGCGTCTGGGTGGAGCCCGGGCAGGTGCCTGCCTTGGGGGGGTTGTCTCAGGAGGGCCCTTCAGATCTGAGGAAGTTGGGGTACACCCTGCCCCCCACCAACCTAGGCGACAAGACTCGAATTTGCTGATTGTCTGTCTCCTCTGAACAAGCCACTTGGGAATTCATGCTAACGTGAGACCGACCCGACTGGGCGGGGGGCCCGAGGTGGCAGTGACGCCCACTGGTGCCCCAGGACCAGGACCCGGAGGGACTCTGGTGCCAGGAGCTAGAGGCCCCGCCACCGGCCACCTTCCTTCTGCACCTGAGGCCCGTCCACCCACCGCCGGCTAGACACACATCCTTGGAAAGGGGGGAAAGTAACACAGAGCAGCGCTAAGGAGCACCGAACAGCACCGACTGGGGCATGAAACACAAGATGCGACACGGAATCCCGGGGCTCTGGCCCCGCGGCCCCGCCCCACCCCCACCCTTCCACCTAGTACATTATCTTCAAGAAAAAGTACATTAGTCATGCATCAAATCAAATTCCATTGCGTCTTTTTTTTTTTCATTTTTCTTCCTTTTTTTTTTTTTTCTTAAATTACATTTGAACACAGAACACACAGAATAATAAATACTCTTATAAGACATGACTCCAAAAAACGAGAAACAGAACACGCCAGAGAACAGAAAGGTATCCAACGCTCTCTCTCTCCTCTCTTTCCTAAAGGACTCATTGAAATAAGAAATCTGTAAACGCCGCCGCAGGTCCTTCCTCGTGCGCTCCCCCCCTCTCTCTCTCTCTCTCTCTCTCTCTCTCTCTCTCTCTCTCTCTCTCTCTCTCTCGCTCGTGCTCCCCGGGCCCTTTGCCTCTGACCACCCAGCTTCCCCTGCCCTGACATTCAACGCGTCTCCCACGGAGCTCACCAAAAGAAATGACATACCATCGTCTGCAAAATTATAATTTAACTGTATAAAGCTTCAAGTCACGTATTCCAAAAACTAGCTAAGGATTTTTTTTTTTAATCACATAAACTGTACATTAAATATCTTGAGGTATTTCAGAGAAAATTGTCAAAGGCTCGAAGGAGCTGTGCTGGAGGTGTCATTCCCTGTGTGGAGAATGGTCTTTGGTATGTGACAACCAGCTGGGTGTTGGGGCAAGCAGGGCTGGGGGGCTGGCCAAATGGTGGTGGTGGGGCATCAGAAGGGAGACGGTGTGTGTGCACGTGTATGCGTGAGTGTGTGCATATGTAATAGGAGGGTGTTTGAATGGGACGCAGGAGTCAGGGACGCTTCTGTGACCCGTGTCACTGGGGCTTGAGGGGGTCCCATCACCAGAAAGGTCCCATGTCCATTCCTAAGTGTCCAACACGGGACAAAACCAGGAGGCCCTGGCCTCTGACCCTTGGGCCTTGAATGCAGGACCAGCAAGTGACTTAACCAGCAGAGAATCCCTGTCCCCTGAAAGCAGGTGCTCTCTCAAGTGGGGCCCACGTGTTCGTGGCAGGCTGAGGGAGAGGCCGTGTCCACCCAGCCCCCAGCTCCCAGCCCCCGGTGTGGTGGGACCAGTGTGTGCACAGGAGTGTGTCTGGAGGGAGGGGTTGTTGCTGAGCGGGAACGGGGACCCTTAGGATTCTGCCCCAACACCCAAAGGTTCTAGAAGCATCACTCAGACCCGGTTGCTTGAAAAGTGCGGAGAATAGTGAGTCGATAAGGACAAGAGAGCATCTCACACACGTCTTTGGTTCAAGAAAAAGGCACTCATCGACCTCACCACCCTCTCCCTCCCTCCCTCTCTCTCTCTCTCTGTCTCTCTCTCTCTGTCTCTCTTTCTCTCTCTCTCTCTCTCTCTGCTCTCTCTGGTGGTGGACAGGTGGCACCTGGGGGGCAGGGCCCAAAGCAGACCCTCGCCCACACCTGGTCCCCAGGCGAGGGAATCCTAGCATCCAGCACAAGTCCTTGGGGGAAATCTTTGGTATCAGGCGTGATTTTTCCAATCACAGACATGAACATTTGAGTGAGGTAGCCTTTACCTGGGGAGGAGGAGGGGCATTTCATTAGAAATGTCTCTTGCATTCTCAAAGGGGTGGGGTGTGGCCACCTCTCTGGGAGGCGGTGGTCAGGGGGTGGGAGGCGGTTTAGTGGGGAGAGGTTCCTTCTAGCCTCCAGCTCTTGAGCCGTGGGCGGGGAGCAGGCTCTTGGGATCCAGCTGCCGGCCAGTCCTGGAGGTCACCTGGAGAGGGCGAGCAGGGGAGGCTGGGGGCAGGGGGGCGTGCTCATCTTCATTTCTGACCCTTCCTTCCCCTTTGTCATTTTTTTTTTCTTTTGGCAAAAATCAGAGCAAGCAGATTCCACCTTGTTCATCATCTTCTTTCTCTCTTTGGAGAAAAAGCAGCAGCAGTACCGGTTCACCCCTGCGCCCCTGCAGGCCCAGCGCCGCACCCCCAAGCGCTGGGAAGTGGGGGAAGTTCCGGGGGGTCCCGAGCAGAGGGCGACGCCGCGACCCCAGCGCGCAGAGGCTCAGGTGTGCCCTGCTCTCCCGGGGCCCGTTTCTCCGTGGAATCTGGGTGTTTTCTTCTGTTTCCTGGGGTCTGTCTCTCCCCGCGCGTCATTCATCAAGGTGCCTAGCGGTAAAGTGAACTGGCAGAGGGACGTGGGGAGGGAGGCGTCTGGAATTACCCGCTTGTTTGAGCTGCCGTCCCCTCCGGTCTGGGACAGGGTATCCCCTGCATCGGCAGGGGGGGGGGGCGCCGCCCCCCCCCCGCCGGGGGCCCCCCCCCCCCCCCCGCCAGACGTTAAGGCAGGCAATTCTTGGCACAAGGAATCCCGGCTGCCGGGAGGGGCGGCTGGGTCTTGGCTGCGGAGGCAGTTCTGCCGGCGGACTCGGGGTGATCTTGGTGGGGTGGGGGCAGTGTGAGGCTCCAGCTCGACGTGGGCTTTGGCGACTTTGGAGGGGTTGAGTTCTCGGGGAAGGGTCCGTGGCGGGCTTTGCGGGGGGTACCGCTGGAGAGGAAGCCTCCCTGCCTCCTTCCGTGGGGTCGGGGGGCCGGCGAAGGAGGGGTTATTCTTTAAATTCCTTTTTTAAATACCCGGTTTATGTTTTTAGTATGTGCTTCTTGACCCGCTTTCGGGACGACACGTGAGCCCTGGTTTTCCTCGAAGCCCCCTGGGCGTCCTGCCTTGAAAGGGAGCCCGGGAGCCCCTTTCTGTCACCCTCTCCCCTCTGGGGGGTGGTGGTGGAGGGCTTCCTTTGGCCTGAAGGGGATTGGGACGGAGGGAGGAGGGGGGCCCTTTTTGTGCACTTGGGCTGGGGGTGTGCTGCGTCCCTTCCCGGGGTGTGGGAACCCGGACGGCAGCCCCTCCAGGCGCCCCCTGGCGCGGGTCTCCGGGCCGGCAGGGTTAGGGCTGGGGGACGTGGGAGGGCGGGAGGGGGCGGGGCGCCTCAGGCCTTGGAGAAGGTGGCCGCGGCGCCGACGGGGCCCCCGGGGGCAGCGCCTGGCTCCTCGGCCCAGCGGTTCATGCAGCGGCGCCGCGCGTTCATGAAGAAATTGCTGACAGTGTTGAGCTCCAGGCCGAGCTGCTGCGAGATGGTGACCTGCATCTCCTTCGACGGCCGCTTGTTCTCCTTAAAGATGGCGATCAGCGTGCGCCGCTGCAGGTCGGTGAACACCAGGCGCTGCTTCTTGGGCTGCAGCGCGCGCTCCTTCTGCTGCTCCTGCTCCTTCCGCTTGCAGGCTGCGGGCGAGCGGGCGGGCGGGACGCAGCGCCACCGTGCGGCCGCACGGAAGAAGACAGGCCACGCGTCCCGGAGCGGAGAGACACGAGGAAACACAGAAATACGCGGGAAACGCGAGAGATGGAGGGAGAGACGACCCGGGGACAGGGCCAAAAGAGACAGGGAGACACAGAAAGAGGCCAGGAGGCAGCGAGTGGAGACCACCAGTAATGGAAGGAAGCGGGGCAGACAGTCGTGGGCGGGAGACAGAGACAAAGGAGGCAGATGTGGAGGTGGGGAGAAACAGAAGGGGACACAGTGTGAGCACACCTCCACAGGCACGGGTCGCCACCCCTCCCATCGCTCTTCTGCATGCTGGCCCCCTCCCCAGCCTCATATCCCCAAACCCCTCCCCACCCCCCCAAGAATCCTGACCTCAAGAGCACCACTGGTGTTGGTGGCTTTCCGCCCTCCCTTCTGCAGCCCACACCTGGGGGGTGCTGGGGGAAATGACATGGAAACTCTACATGTGAGTTATTTGGCTCAGTGTAGACCTGGGTGAAAGAAGTGGTTAATTCATACGTCCTCGGAGATGTGTCACAAACCCCAGTAACCGCCCCCTGGAATGATGGGGCAAGGGGGTTCTCAGAAGGGGGGTGACAGCCCATGCTTCCTTCCCTGGTGTCCTCTGGCGCCTGGCCAGCTCAGGGACCCTGAACCAGGCTCACATGGGCGTCCACTGCCTGATTCTGATATCTGAGCCCCCACTCTGGCCTCCCCCCACCAGCAGACTGAGACTGAGGTTTGGCTCCCCTCAAGTCCCCAGAGGAACTTCTGGAGCTGGGAGGATCTAAGGGGGATTGAGAAACCAACCCTCCCTCTCCCAGGGCCACCAGCACGGAGGACCGGGAAGGCTGCAGGAGGCTGCCCTGTGGTCCGTGGATGCTTGCAAAGGGGAAATGGAAACATCTCAGGGTGGTGGAGCTGGGCTGGAGCCTGTGGTCCTCCTCCTCCCTGCCCCAGCTCCAAAGCGGACCCCTCCCCTCAATGCCGTGGGGGCCAGTGGGTGGAAAAGATGAGCTTCACCAGCCAGAGCAGGCTGTTTCCCCCCCGGGGGCTGCTGACATCAGCACAAACTCTATCAGAGTCTCAATTCCTCATCCACGTACCAGTCACGGGCAGTGGGGTGGTGAACACCTGCTCTATCCTGCCTCCCCGCCAACCGCTTGCCCCAGCGACTGTCACCCCCATAGTGGCCAGTGGCACAGGCTGTACTAGCAGATCCCTGCTGCCAGGCCTAGTGGCCTGCTGGGACCACAAGCCAAGCTGGCTTTTTTTGGTTCCAGGACAGTCTGAACCCGATGACATGCCAGATCAATGTCCACACACGTCAGCAAAAATAAATGAATGTCCCCTGCACTGTGGCTTGTTTCTCGGGGACGACAGGTTCCCCTGTGTGAACTGATGCACCACGTCCCTCCCTGGCCCCCTCTGACCTGGAACACACATGGGGCTTCTGATTGTCTGTTTCAGGTTTCATGATTAAAGAAGAGTGATGATCAGAGGTTACTGGACATTTCAGAAAAGCCTCTAATGAAGGAGAGAGAGAAAAAGTGAGAAAAATGGCAGGAGGATTGGGAGATGATGCTCTCAGAAGAAACAGACAGGTCAGGCACTGTTATAAGTCAGATTCTTGGAGAGGTAAGAGAAAAATACTGTATCCATGAAACAGGACCACGAAAGGGGAAGACAATGCTCTTAGAATTTAAGTACATAATAGCTGGAATAAAGTCAATGTAAGAATTGGAACGTAGGGAATTCCTGGTGGTCCAGTGGTTAGGACTCGGTGCTTTCACTGCCAAGGGCCCCGGTTCAATCCCTGGTCGGGGAACTAAGATCCTGCAGGCCATGTGACTGGGCCAAAAAATTTAAAAAAGAGAAAAAAAGAAAAAAAGAATTGGAACATAAAGCAAATATCTCTGGAAATACAAGTGGACACAGAGATGGAAAATGAGGGAAACGTGATTACAAAGTTAGAGGATGAATGTGCAGGTTTGTCATCTGAGCAAGAGGCCATCCAAAACTAGAGGAAGGGAAGCCCAGATAAATTATATATATATATATATATATATATATAAAATCCATGGCTGGAAGACATGAGAGTTCAGTTTAAAAGAGCCCATGAAATGCTCAGCTCAATGAATGAAAAAAAATACACTCCTTGAGGTTCATCCTCGTGAAATGTCAGGGACCCGGGATGAAAAAGAAGATAAAATGTCCCAGAGAGGAAAGCGACATGCCATTTGGAGACCTAAGAATCAGAGTGGCTTTGAGCTTCTTGAAAACTGGGAGCCAGTGGAACAATGCCTTCAAAATTCTGAGGGAAAACTGTATTCAGCTAGAATTGTGTGACCGGCCAAACATAAGCATGAAGGTGGACTAAAGATATAGTCAGACATTCAAGGTCTCCAGAAGTTGACCCTTTTTTTCAGAAAGCTACTAGAGGGTGTGTTCCATCAAAATGAGGAAGTAAATCAAAAAAGGAAGGTGTGGGAATCAGGAAATGTGATTCATCCTAGAGGAAAGGGAAAAGAGGCCCCCCAAATGAAGACGGGAGAGCCTGAAAGACAGCAGGACAAAGGCACCAAGGGCACGGAGGACAGTCCCATTCAGGTCAGAGCAGAAGAACCAAGGGAAATGGAAATGTCCTAACATACGTTGGTTTCGAATTTTGTTGGAGGATGTGGGATGAGTTTGTGATTGGCAACAATTAACTCCTGGAAAAACAAACGGCCGTACAAGAAAGGAAAAGCAATCCTGGTACTGTATGAGGCAAAACCTAGGAGATGAACAGTGTACCGGGCAGCCTTTTGTATACAAAACAGGGGAGTGAGAACATTTGTTCATATTTTATCTGCTTAAAGAAATCTTGGAAGGAAGCACAAGGAACTGCCTTGACCTCCCATCTCCTTGGAACTTGGCCAGCCTGTGAGGCTCACGAGAGGAGGCCACGTCCCCCACTCTTTCAAGGGAAAGCTGGGTCTACAGGCAGCAAGGCCAGGGAAGAGTAAAAACTCGGCCCGGCCTTTACATTCCAAAAGAGGCCTATCTTGCCCTCCTGTTGCGATCGTCAATTCATTCACTCACTTCATGCATTCATTCATTCTCTTAGCAATTTTCTCATGAATTCACTATGCATTTACACTAGGGACAGATATACAAATGCTCCTTTGTATCAATGCTCTAGCTTGCAAGAGCTTTGCATGTGCAGGGCCTTATAATTCCATAGGGCAGGAACTTTCCTTCTTACTTACTCAGAGAAGGTAAGCCCCTTGCCCAAGTTCGCCCAGCAAGTCCTGGCAGGGGCAAGACAGCAGCCAGGGTTGACTGGCAGATGGGAGGGAGGTAAGATGTGGGTCGCCTCTTTGGCCCCCGCCTCCCCCTTCTCCAATCCAGAGCCTAATGGGGGCCCCAGAGGCAGAGGCTGGGGGAGGGGCCGGGCAAAGCAGAGTGGTGAAAAAACTTCGCGTTTTGTCGATCGCAGCAAAAAGAGGCTCCGCTCGCCCCCCTTCCCAGCATTCAATCTAATTACAGATCCTCACAGCCTGGATCGATCCGGGCTCCAGTCGGAGCTGTTTACCTCGAGCAGCTTTTGTCACCGCTTCCCTCCCCCACAGACCCCGGTGGCGCCGGCCTGGAGGCCCCTGCCCCTGGCGGGGGTGTGAGTGCCAGCACGGGAGGTGCCCCAAAGCCCCCCAGCAGCGGGTCCTGACTATCGCTGCCCTGCCCCTCATCCCTCCCAGCGCCCAGCATCACCTCGGCCAGCCCTAAAAACCACTGCACCCCTGGAGGCAGCCCCAGAAGGAGGAGAGACCTGGGTATGGACCCCTTTCACAGAAGTGAAAACCAAGGCTGCCAGAGGACCGGCCAGGGAGCAGGGCTGGGGAAGAGGAGCCGGGGGAGCAGCCTGGGATGTACTCATGGCACCAACCAGCAGCCTCACACTGCGGTGCCACTGCTGCGGCCACCTCTTCCACGATGATCTCCAGTGGGGACCGCCACTGTGGTGTACCTGCATCACCTCCTCCACCTGCATCACTTCCACCTCCGTCGCCTCTTCTGCCATCACCTCGTCTCCACCACCATCGGTGTCCATCTACCACCACCCCTTCCATCATCTGCATCAATTCCACTGCCAGCCCCTCCTCCTCCACCATTACCACCACCTGTCCCACCACCACCTCTCTCCGCAGCCGAACCCCGTCATCAACACCACCTCTGCTCTCATCACGTCCTCCACCTGCACCTCCATCACCATCACCTCCATTTTATCACCTCCACCACTGTCTCCTCCAAAATCCCCACCGACACCATCAAACCCCATCCTAGAGTCCACCTTGCATGTGCCCAGCACAGGGGGACTCAGCCCAGGTTCCCCCACCAGGGCCACCCAGCCTGTGGTGGGGAGACAGGGAGTGGCCTCGGACACAGGCCCTCACGACCAACCATGGCTGCCATGACAGCCAGCAGAGGAGGAGCCAGCTGGGCTGGCCTGTGGGATTGGTGTGGTGGGGTGGGCCTTCATACATGCTCTGGGACGCTGGGTGGGTCAGTTCCCTTGCAGGGCCTGCCTCAGTCTCCTCAGTTGCAAAATGGGACGTGCTGCCTCCTTCCAACATTTTTCAGGGCCCATCAGCTGCCCGAGCCCTCCCCATCTCACTCGGCCCCTGGACCCCCACTCCCTCTCTGTTCTCACCTCCTCCTGCTGCCCCTCACTTAGCTCACTCCTCCGTGGCCACACTGGTCACATCCCCCGGGGCACAGTCCAACCTCAGGGCCTTTGCACTGGCTGCCACCTCTGCCTGCATCGCTCTTTTTTATTTTAAAAATATTTATTTATTTATTTGGCTGTGACAGCTCTTAGTTGTGGCACGTGGGATCTAGTTTACTGACCAGGGATCGAACCTGGGCCCCATGCATTGCGAGCACAGAGTTTTAGCCACTGCACCACGAGGGAAGT